ATAGAGAGGAGCTCTTTAGCTGAAATGAAAGCGAGCTGTGAGCCTCTCCCGCAGCTCCTGGGTGATAAAACTCAGAATGTCTCTGAATTATCTGGTGAATTAATTATGAATTAATTATCTGATGAACGTGACATGCTCTTGCTCTCTGTAAATAAAGCAAAGCCACTTCCTCGTCCGACATTAAACAGAGCCCGACAGAGGAGGGAGGGGCGAGGCTCTTGCCGTGCAGCGCTTCAAGAGCTATCCTGCGTCTGACCTCAAAGTGCACAAGCTTCCAACTTGAAGCGTTGGATGCGATTTTGAAGCTGAAATCGCGTTCGATGTRAACGCAGCATAAGAAAAATCACAAACAAAAGCACAAACTTTATTTCTAAAGTTAAATATATCTAGTGAATTGAAGCTGTACAGCTTTAGCTCCAGTTGTTGCTTGTTCCAAGTAGTAGACCAGCATTGAAGGAAATGTGTTTTTGCTGAGCTTTATATGTTTTGCCGGATAACTAGAGAGAGAGAGAGAGAGAGAGAGAGAGAGAGAGAGAGAGAGGGGTAACTGAGTATATGTATATGAAAATACAGATATTGGCAGAAGGCCAATAAACTTAAATTTAAATAAAAATCTCAATTTATTAGAATAAACTTGTAAATTTAATTGGTTTTACCACTGCAAAGGAGTATTGTGATGACCAATTAACCTAAGAGCCCAAAATGTGAAAGAATTGCAATTGTGTTGGTCGATGTACATGAATTTAAAGACTGGTTTAAACACATCAGCCTTTGTTCTGTAATAGTTTAACCTACATCAATAGACTGAATACACTGTTCATTTCTTGTTTTTTATTATTTATTTATTCATTCATTCGTTCATTCGTTTATTTATTTATTTTTTGATCGGGGGTAATTTCTTTTAGTGTTCTTTTAGATAACAGAGGAACAAAACAAAAGCTCCGTAATAATATTGGTTTCCTTCTTCTTTTTTTTTTTGTTTGTATGTAAGAACTTTATTACACAGACCCCAACATCATCAGTCACCTTTGAAATAGGTGAATTGACGACTGGTTTTCAGGTTAAGACTGGACCAATGTTCTCGCACTAAAAGTAAAAAAAAAGGAAAATATCTGCTGTCAGCTTTCTGACTTATGTAAATAACTCTTTGTAAACCTTAAAATGAGCATTTTAAACTGGCATCTGTGTTGATGGAAAGAGTTTTGGAAAAGTCTAATGCTGTGATGTTCCTCTGCCCTCATTTTTAGYTGTGTACTGTTCAGAATATAAAGTACAAAAGATTAAAGTAGGGCAAAATTGTCATCAGGTTATGTTTGTGTGCATGTGATGGATACAGTCATTACAGCAGATTTATAGAATTGATGTTAAAGTGCACACCCACAGTGTGCTCCACTGTTTTGTGATTAAATGTGTAGAATAGTGTAGAAGTCATTCAATTTGTTGATATTAAGAGTGTCTCGTCACTGTAGTTGGGAGCAGAATTCCCCGCCTATTTCTCTAGTTATGATTAATGATTCTTTGTTTAAGGCAAAATAATTTTCTTAAAGAATTAACTCTTTGTTCAGGCACATTATTTGTAATATTTAACCCCTTTGTAACTGCAATGTGTTTTGGTGTTTTCATTTTTGGTCACCTTTTTAGATGCAAATGTATTTCATTTTTCTTTTCAAGGTTTTTGTTTTTTAATGGACATTACAAGTTGCACTTTTAGAAGGGTGGATAGAAGAAGCTGTGGCTGAGTGTGTGACAGCTGTGGATGGAGGGGTTTAGGGGAGTCATCCTCCAATGAGAGTTGGCAGTTCGATTCCCCCCAATATTCAGTCATATGTCGAAGTGTTTTTGGGCAAGACACTGAACCCCCACTGCCTCTGATGTGTGTTCCTTCAGTGTATGAATGTGATTTAAACACTGATTAATCTTCATAGAATGATCTCTCTGGGTTGGCTTTGTAGATTGGGTAGAAAGGTGCTACACAAGTACAGTCTATTTATCATAAAGCTTAAAAATTTAAATGGTTTTGCTCTGTTTTGTGTTGGAATTGCCTTTTTCAAAAATCATTTGCAGCACATAAAGGAATATGAGAAATTAGTAAGAAATAATGTCTGACATTCCCAACATGTTACTGTCAGTGCTGACTATGAGCAATCAGCTGGTGTCTGACTCAAGTCAACAAACATGACCAATATCACTGGAAATTGAAAAAAGAAATTTAAGGAAGAAAATGGTTGTAATTCCATAAAATCATTTAGGAAATTAAAAAGTCAAAATTTGTCAAGTATATGTTTATATCACCATGTAGGACTACACTGCCTGGCCAAAAAAGGTGTTAAATCCACCTGAATTTAAAAGGTCTATGATGTGGAGTTGCTGCAGTTCGTCAGGTCCAGGTTCAGCAACAGTTTGTGCTCCAAGAATGAGGTCAGCTGATTACCTGAATATACTGAATGACCAGGTTATTCCATCCATGGATTGTTTCTTCTGTGATGGCACGGCCATATTCCAAGATGACAAAGCCGGGATTCATGGGGCTTGAATTGCGAAATAGTGGTTCAGGGAGCATGAGACATCATTTTCACACATGGATTTGTTCCACAGAGTCCACTGAGAATCTTTGGGATGTGCTGAGAAGGTCAGACTCTACCATCATCAATGCAAGATCTTGGTAAAAATTAATGCAACACTGGATGGAAATAAATCTTGACACTGCAGAAGCTTATCAAAATAGTTCCACAGCGAATGTGTGCCATAATCAAAGCTAAAGGTGGTCCAACAAAATATTAGTGTGATATTTATTATTATTTTTTTTGGTGGTGACTCTTTTTTTGGCCAGGCAGTGTGTTTATACCATTACCACAGGAGTTATTCTGCTTTTTAACAAATGGGTTGTCTTCTTGAATTGTCTTGCACTGACAAAAAAAAAAAAAAAAACGGATTCTGTCTCACGGAATAGTAAGTAATAACAAACCTAAAACGGTATTTGCTTGAATTGTAAAAACATTTTGAGTTTGAGCTGTTTATGATAGTAGAAATTCAACATGAATCAGAAATTTCCTGATTCTTAAAACTGTGATTGTCTTGTCTGCAGTCTATTGTGGGTAACATACTGACATTTAATAACTACTCCATAAAACACRTTTAAAGTAAAAAATAAAATAAAATTCTCTTTACAACATTAGAGTTTTTTGTTTGTTTGTTTGTTTGTTTTGGATAGAGTGAATTGGTGGGTTGTTTCTCTGCCTTTACTCCCATTTGCTTTTATTTTCTCCACAGTCTACCCAGACCTTTGCAACATTAGCCTGGCAGCTGTAGGAGATGCACAGAAGCACCAAGATCGCATTGCATTCTGGGATGATGTGTATGGCTTCAACATGGCATGTATGAAAAAGGCTGTGATTCCAGAGGCTGTGGTGGAAGTGGTGAACATAGACACACTCATTTCTGAGCCTACGGTCATACAGGTAAATATTAAAGCAAGACCAGTGGTAACACTGTATGTAGTGTTCAAACTGTTAGATTTGGTTCTAAAAAACATTAATAGGAGGTAAGTGAGGAAGTAATCACTCATTAAAGTAAAAAAAAACCTGCAGTCTGTCTGCAGGGTATAGAGTGGCACACAAGCAGTAATCAGAGCACATCGATGTACAGGATGATAGTTTTGATGWTGGGAGGTCCTGTCACTCTGAAAGGAGACATAATTGTTTAACCTTTTGGATACTTTACAGTTCCTATAGGGACAAATGGTTTAGATCGCACAGTGCTCGACTCTTTACCACTTTTAATATTCATTCAAATAATTGAAAAACACAATTAACAATGCCTGATTTAAAACGAAGACAAATTGTCTAATGCTACTTTCTTCAACTGAATAACTGACACCCTCCTGTAAATATCTCCTGTAATACAACTTTAAAGAGAAATTCCTTTTTGTATCTGCCATTAGCAAGCCAGTACGGTATGTTTGTCAGGTTTGCTCTGCAGAATCGCTGATAGGAAACAATAAAGTTCTTGAGCTTAAAGCTGAAGACAGGATGAAAGCAAGTTTTAGCAAAAGAGGGGGAAAGAGAGAGAGAGCAGAGAGAGCTGTAAAGTTAAAGGAAGGGTTTTTGTGTTTGTGGTGATGCTGTAGAGCTGGGTGATTGATCAGTCTAATACGTATTTAAGTTCTACTTAAGGAAACTTCATTACTCTCAGCTGGCTAAAGATAAAGCAGTTTTTACAGAGCTGATGAGCAAGCATACACATTACTTTGAGATAAAACGCACGCACACACACACGTAATAAACCATCTCATGTGAACGAAAAGCAAATATAAAGGAAAGCTCGTTCCTCTTGGTTCCTCTGTTTTTTTGCCAGTTAACCTCTTTGCAAAGTGTTGTGTCTTCCACTCATCTGAGAGTGTGATGGATGGGGAGAGAACTTTGATGTAATGGAATTTGAGTCCTCTAATCAATAGTTTCTCCCCTCCAGTGACAAATAGACACCCCCTTTACCCAAATTACAAGGACTCTCATCTATTGCGTCTCGTTGATACGATCCAATAACATTCCATTAAGGCTGGCTGCAATTCCGTAAAATTGAGAGCAGTTTCATGGAATTAGAAATTCCCACTGAACAGATAAGTTTTTTAATGCCCCTTTAATGTCAAGATACGGAAATATTTGAGTTCAGGAATGTATGCTTGCTTTCATTTTAGTCAGTCTTTGTTGTTTTTACTATATTATACAATTAAAATATATTTTTCATTATTTTGGGGTAAGTGTTGCTTCTTCTCTGCTATCTTTAATGTATATATACTTCTTGGATTATGCTGTACATGTTTATTTGATTAAAATCATTTTAAATGTATCTGTTAGTTTGTTTTTCTCTCATCAGTAGAGCCTTGTCTCCATTTTCAAATGGATTTGGCATTTCATTTATCTGGATATATCTATTTTGTAAACTGTGTCATCATGTTCGGGAACATTTCCAGTGTTAAGATCTGACTTACTTGGAGACAGGGTCAACACTGTAAATGCTTTTATTTACCCCAGAACATTATGCAATGGTTGWTGCTTTATTACCTGGCACCTTATACAGCTGAAAGAAGCCAAAACCCTCAGAGAATTGAGTTGCTTGCTATAGATGTGTGTACATGACCTGTTCTAATAATTAGCTTGTTTGTGTCAGGCTAAAGGCCCTGTCACACTTGCACGTTGGGGACTTGAAAATTTTGTTATGACTTAATTACTCGTGCAGATTATTATCAATCTAATAGCCAGCATTGTAGTCAAATAAGTCTTCCATGATTTTTTTAAATTCCATCTTCAACATAGACATCTTCGGGGTTGGACAGCATTTTCACAAGTTAGCATAAATTCTCTAAAGTGTTAAAGTGTGACAAGGTCTTCATATTGACGTGCGTTCTCATAGCTCTCCAATTTGGTCACACTTGGGGAGTTTAAGATTTTAATAAACAGATCTGAAAATTTGTCCATAAGCACCTGTACTTGTCAATGAAAACCCTTTCTTTGATGTATGGTATTGATTTTTCGTAGTATTAAGTAAATTGTATTATTATTGTTTTTGTGTTACTTTGTTGTGGTGAATGTAACAGGTCTCTCTTGTCAATGAGACAATGAGTCTCAAGAGATCTTCCTGTATAAATAAAGGATAAATTAAAAAAATAAAATAGTACATTACTGAGTACTATGCTGCCTTGAGACTTTATCACAATGTTTGTGAAGCACTTGGATTTTTTCATTTATCCATTTTTCCTGCTTTCAACAGAAACATTTCCCAATCTGGCAGTTTATCAACTAAATAACATGTCCAACATTTTCTAGGCCTCTTTATTTAAAAACTGTTGGTTATTTTTATTCATATACAGTAACCCCTGGTATTCTCACTTGTTCTGTTTTTTAAAGCTTATCTGTTTAAAAGTTGCATAAAGTCACTTTTTGTTTTGCTTTAATATATCAAGAACAACCTGGCAGTCCTTGAAGGAATTCATATTGCCCATCACCTTTTATGCCAGTGGTTTAAACTAGGGTTGGGCATAATTGCATTGTGTACAGTCAGTCGTCAGAAAAACATTAATCAATTATTTTTTGGCACTTGATGATTAATACAATTAATGCCACCAGGCAGACTGACTGGACATTTCCCCAGTCAGTCCCGTCGGTGTTCCTCTCCGCTTCAGATATGACGTACATTAAAAAAAGGTTCTGTAATTTATTTATCTATCAACACAATTTAAAAATTGATGTATAACCTGAAGTCTGTAATTTTGGCACAATTTGGAACTGATTTTTACAAAGAGTAAATCTTTCCCACTAACTTGGTCATGCGACTAGGACATAAGGGTGTCCAGGGGATTAATCGTCAAATTAATCATTATCGGCAAAATACCACAATTAATCATGATTTTTTTTTTTTTGCCAAAATTGCCCAACCCTAGTTTAAACTAAGATATTCTATATAAGAAATCACAAAGTTATAGCTGTTTGGGTCAAATGGTATACACAATCTAATGCAATATTGCAAGATGTTGATATGTGGTAGTGCTCAGAGCACAACTCTCAGCTACTCCTACATTTAACTCAAGCTCAGAATCTGTAAATTTGACTAAGTTGGTTGATCATTGTTAAAATCGTTTGCAATGTGTAGTTTTTTATTCTTATTGCTGTTTGTCTTACTTTGAACAGACAATTGACTGTAACACCGTGTGCCTGTCAGAACTGGAGTTTACAACAGATTTCTGCTTGAAAATGAAAAACACCACTGAGTGCACGGTAAGAAGCACAATTACATGCACACATGCACACACACAACACATCATCAAAACTGATGATTCTGTAAAGACAGGGAAGCAACTTAGTAAACGTACAACATACACTACTTCTGAAACAACTATAATTCATCATCTTGCCATATTTTATGTTTCTGGGATGCCATCTGTATGGATAAAATGATGAACAGAAATGTTGATTTACTAATGTGTACAAAGGTTTTTATCTTCCCAGTGGAAGGTAGGGGTTTTTTTTTATTATTGAACTCAGTCCTGCTGTCAAACATTTGGGACAGAAAAATGACCAGAAACATTTCTGTTCATCCAATATTAACATCTGTCATTTATCAGAGATTTTGTCTGAAAAGAACAAGACAGTGCAAACAGACAAGACATCAGTCAGCTCATGTTGATGGATAACGTTTGTTTTAAAGAGAATGTCTGTCATTTTGATATTTCATAGTTTCAATTTCAATCAGAGATAATGTGACTTCAAAAGGCATGCCATACAACAAAGTAAATGATCAAAGCCTTCTTTTTCTTCCCTTCTCTCTTAAATGTAATCTGGTTTTATAAAATATAATGATTGAAATAAAGTTAACTTATTATTAAAGGCACAAGATTGAATAGCATACTAAAAATATTACATATATGTGTGATGATACAAAGATAATTCCAAGACCCTAAACTTAGGAGTTCTGTTAAATCTTTCAATGAGAGAAGGTAGGAATGTGGGATTTGTGAGTGATCACACCAGTGACAACTCTGCAGGCATTACAAGCATCAGCAGGTGAGATGGGAAAGTGTTAAAACAATTGTTGCCTGGGCTCTTGACCAATCTAACTTTATGGGAGAGTGGCAACAAGAAAGCCACTATTCAATAGTAGCTAAATTAAAATTATGCTAATAAAATTTATGGACCACTGCCATCCACCATGTTTGTTTATCTGTGGGAACAGCCAAAGGGACTGATATTAGACTGACATTGGTGACATTTATGAACAAGTCTTGTATGATCAAGAAGGTTTACAATTAGCTGAGTTGTTTTAAACCAATCTGCAATGACTATTTCCAATGGTAGACATGACAAAAGTATTCAGACTCCCAACCCTGCTTATGAAAGTTAAGTCTGAAATCAGGTGTTAAACACTACAATTGGTAGTAGCTTTAGATGGTGTGCCTTAAAGATAAGCACTTCCAAGATTTTAGCTCAGTGACACAAGATGGCTAAGCTTCATCTCAGCTAATCCAGTCTAGTAGGCAGTTTATAAGCAGCTCAGAAGTATTTCACAAACTGGAGATAAATTAAGATTTAAGTTCTGAATGTTCACAGCATTAGAATAGAGCTTAAAAACATTTAAACAGTAAACTTGTCTAGCAAAAGCTGGGAGGGTTTGAATAAATTTTTGGAACAAATTCTTTTCCGTGGGAGGACATGTGAAAGGTGGRAACTCTGTTCTGCTCTGTTCAATTAGCTGGATTTATATTTGGATTCTGATCAGTGGACTCTACAGATTGGCTTGGTTTTCTCCTGGTGTTCTACAAAACCATGTTGGTGGCTATTCAGGCCATTTCCTGGCTGCCTGAACAATATGAAGGATTGCCGTACTATCAGCACTCAGACTTTTGCCTTGAGCGAGATGGGACAAGGTCTGCAAGCGGTTCTGCTGAGGTTCGCGGGCCGGCTGTGGTTCCTGGACTTTGCTGGCCAGATGGAATTGATCTTGGAGAATCTGAGAGCTCGGCTTGGTGGAATTGTCCACACTATTTGTCTGATAGGATTCGCCACCTTGAGATGTACCAGCAGACATTAAGACAGATCGAAAATTATTGTCTGTCTGCCCGAAAACACTTCTCTTCCCAAACAACTGATTACAGATGTGTCTACAGTTCACATACAATTTCATATAATTTGTATTTAAACAGCAACAATTTTTTCCTCTTCAATCAGACACCAGCAGGGTGTTTTGTTAGTCTAGAGTTCAAAGTCCTTTCTGAAAACTGTTCGGCTTGTTGACTGGTTGGTGATCAAACAAGTGGCTCACAGCGGTTTATTTTCATCTGTAGTGCTTCTAAATTTTAATGTATTAACACACACACACACACACACACACACACACACAC